CAGGGCTGCTCTCCATCCTTTCTTCCCCCAGCCTGTATTGATACCGGGGGTCTCCCCCACCCAGGTGCAGGACCTTGCACTTGGCCTTGTTGAACCTCATGAGGTTCACACAGGCCCACCTCTCCAGCCTGTCCAGGTCTCTCTGGATGACATCCCGTCCTTCTGGTGTGTCAGCCGCACCACTCAGCTTGGTGTCATCCGCAAACTTGCTGAGGGTGCACTCGATCTCGCTGTCTAAGTCATTGACGAAAACATTAAACAGCACCGGTCCCAGCACGGACCCCTGAGGGACACCACTCGTCACCGGTCTCCATCCGGACATCGAGCCATTGACTACTACCCTCTGGACACGACCATCCAGCCAGTTCCCAAAGCTCTTACCCATCCAGTAATGCCTATTCCAACAGGAGCTACAGGATTGAAGGATCCCCAAATAGAGGAGAAAAAATACGGAGAAAGCTCCTGCCAAGAGCTCTGCCTGGGTTTGTTGCCATCCGTGCACATCTGGCTCAGGAGCTTTCTGCTCACCCAGTGACTGAAAGCCACCTTCTACTTTTGTGTAGCAGTCACCCACCCAAGGGCCAACAGTGCTGTTCATCAGCGTGGTGCCCCAGGCTCAGCCACTGCAGCCAGTCCCTTCGCCGTTTGCTTTGGTGCCCTTGTCTGTCCTGTTTCCCCACAAAACACTTGCATTCACACATCTGGATATGAAGTTTCCCTGGCACAAGCTGCCCGGAGAGCGGCAGGATTACGTGACTGGACTGCCAACCTCCGCTACCTCAAACCGGGCAGCAGCCGGGTGGATGACATGCTTTACCTTTTGACCAAAGCTGCTCGAAACCTGCCCAAATCCTTGTCAGAGCAACTGAGACCAGGTAACAGCTTGAAAAGCCCAGCCTAGCACAGCCTGGTCTCTGAAGACACCAGGCCAAGGAGGACTGAGCGACCTGGTACTACCCTGGCTGCAACACCCACCTGGGTCTCCTTCGCCTGCAGTGTCGGCGGTGGGAGCAGCTGCAGGATCTCGTGCCCACCAGGCTGCCCGTACCCGGCTACACAGACACCTTGGAGGTGGGGACAAAGAACCAGGGACATGGTGAGGGATGCACCC